GTGTAAAAATAAAGTTCATTTTTCTACAAGAAATTTTCACTATAATTAAAAAAAATCTTTTTGAATAATGGTCGAGTGGTTAAGCGCTAGTGGGTCCTGGGTTCGAATCTCGCGAGGCAAGATGGTGGATGCGAATTGTTGAGGAGTCCCACAATAGGACGAAACGTCGTTCAGTGCTTTCAGGTTTTCCATGGTGGTCTAGCTTCAACTGATTCATGATTTCAACTATAAAATGACTAAAATCTCTACAGACCCCCCCCCCCGTTTTCTGATAAAAAAGCAAACTAAAACACCATTCAGTTGTTATTGATCAAAACCTGTATAACAGGCTAATATCGTTTGATAATGACATATGAAATGAAGTTTATTCCCTAATAGCACAAATACATTTATCGGGTCTCCAATTTTAAAACTTTTATTTATGTTGGACAGTTTATTCACTATACACTTTTGATAACTATTATCTCATTTAGTTACCTTTCTTCTCTACTGTCACAAAGTTTAGTAACCTAAAACAATAGGATTTTATATGAGTTCTTACTTTTTTAGTACCTGTATGGATCCTTTTTCACTAAACCAACTAGGGAACAAATTATATACGTATAGCTTGTTATATGAAAACTTATCTGTCTTAAACTGACATAAAGTTTGTAAAATAAATGAAGAGAGTGAACGTTTAGCATTCTATAATACCGAATTAGAAGTGAAGACAATAAGAAGTACAAAAATCATATTTTATTCATAAATCTAAAACCTATATCATTTCTAATACAAGAAGTATGATCAAATCAATGAATGTTATACTATGGATCTCCGTTTTATTGAATGCTTTGTTTCACGTTAAGCATTCGTTAAATGATTTATATTTTGGTAATATTTTTAAAAAAAAACCTAATCTCCATACAGCTTGAATCTGTTAAGACACATAATTTTGATCTTAACGATTACAAAAGACAATTAAGAGTAATTTTTATTACCAAACTGTAAACTTATTGATAACTGATTATGTTAAAATGTAAACCAACTATTCGAATTAAATGAAATAAAGTCGCTTGATTTATTCTTGATTTTATCATAACAAGAATAGTCTCCGTAATTATATTATGTAACTTAACTTAAAAATCTTGCAAAAGCTGCTTACAAATTTTGATTTCGAACAAATTAACTATAGATTATTGCTTTAATTCATTCAAAACATTTATTAGTAATGAAACAAAAAGAGTAGTGTAGTTCTATGGACCTTTACTGTTTTTCCCACGCCAGGTAAAATGTTAGTCTGATTTACTTCAAACATGGACGGTTTTGCACTCATTGTACTTGTATGGAGATATATGCGGATTCACCAAAATAATAAACAACCCAAGTTTGTATTCATGTACTAACCGTAATATCTTCATTCACTAGTAGTTATCTACTACTATCATTTATGAACTAAATCTACAGTAAACTCGCCTTGAATCTTTCGTTGGAAAAAGCATAAGAAAGATATTCTTAAATTACTTAAATACGAAGACATTTATATATGTCAGCATTTGATCATTAACACAAAATCCAACTTTTATCTATCTAATTAACAGTATGTTATCAACTCTCTCTTTCTCTCTCTATAATGTGATTAAACCATTTTAGAAAACTGAATACGAAAAAAAAAGAAATATACTCAGTCTATAACTCTTGATCTAAATATCCCGATGATAAATTGTTTTGATATTTCTAGATATATGATGTCATTACCAATTTTTAATAAACAATCTCATCATCTTTTTAATTCAATTAACTAGTAACTGTAATCATTGATTTGACGATAATAACAATACCCTTCCCCCATAAACATTCTTTAACTGATTTTGAAAAATAACCAGATGATTAAAGTATTAAAATGTAATGAAAACAATTGTGATCTAATTATGTTATGTAGTGTGTAACTGTTGAAAAATATTGATCAAGAAATGATATTCGTCAATTACTTCATTTGCAAAAATATTTGACACAGAATACGATGAAAAAAGAAATTGTTTTTTTGGGACTGAGAACGAATTAAACATTAAAACTGTCACATGGTAATGAGAGATTGTCAAAAGTTTAATTAAATTATTGAAAGGTTGAAAAATAGATTAGATGTGTCTTTCTATTAAAAAAAAAATAAAAAAAGAAGATGGAATGTGATTTAAATTCTTTGGTCTTTGCAATTCTTTGGTTTAGCAAAATAAAAACAATTACAGCACAAGGTAAACTAAACGTGTAAAATGATTTTTAAACTTAAACATTCAGCTCAAAGTTAAGCTTGATAACAGTAAACATTTATTAAAACATAGATATTTTAAATTTGCTTAGTATTGTTTGATTGAATCTCCTCATCGATGTTTTAGGACTGTAACTGGTCAGTCTCTAATTGGTATATCTGCATACTGTGCGTATTACCTCGATATAGCCTTAATTCACAAGCATGGTAAGCAAAGATGGATAGTGGCTAGCAGTGGAATACAGGACGTGCGTGCCGTCCTATTTCAGACTCGTACCTGCATGTACCTGCATCTCAGAGTTGATGTTCATTCTAGGACTCGAACCCAGTACCTTTCGCTTAAAACACCATCGCGTTATCCACTCAGCTACTAAGTCCTGATACCAATTGCTTGTTCAATGGGGTGAAATTTAAATTCACTTACTATTGTTTATTTGAATCTTCCCATTGATTTTTAGGACTGCAACTCGTCAGTCTCTAATTGCCATATGTTCAAACGAGGAATACATAATCCATATTGACTAACGTTGGTTTAACTATTGGAATTTTCTGTTTAGCCGACCCCATCTTTCTTTCGAATTTCATTTCAAACTACTACACTTACGGAGTTTTGCAATGGTTAGGAATATGTAACACAAATCTCGACCTCATCAGTCAAAAAAGTCACTTATTGTCTGTTATAATACCCTCTAACTTTGATATTGAACACTCGAATGATTCAAGATACAATACCAATGATACTAAGACACCTAGGGTCATAATTATGCAATCTACTCGAATTTTCTTATTCAAAAGATCCAATGCTTAGAGAGTAAGATTTTTATAAAATGTCTAGTTTTCATTTCATTTATTTCAATTTATTCAGTTGTGCAGTGTAGCTAACTATCATCTAAACAATAAAAGTAAATGCCAAGTGCATAATCTGGAATGTTACGAATATTATATATGTATTTTACAAAAACTTCTCAAAAGTATTTGCAAAACAGACTGGATGACTGTTATAAATGTATAGAAATCATCTAACGTGATCTCCATATCAATATAATGAGCTTACGAGTATAAACTTAAATCATTTATCTTCATAGAACCAGTAGACGTAACTAAACATGGTTAGAAGAATGAAAATTCTTCGGTCAGGAAATAAGGACAAAATGAACAATACCGTATCAATTGAAAATAGGGTTATTGCAAATAATAAAATTTTTAAGTTATGTTAGAGATGAAACTAAGGAAATACCTAATGAATTGTTCAAATATGCGAGAAATAGGATTATAATGAAGGAAATTTAAGATTAGAATATCCGTAAATCGATATTATTTGGTACTTTTGGTGCTTGGTAGCTTAAATGCGAAGCTCTTTTATTGGTCCGGACAACATAATCAGGGGTTATTTTAAGTAAATGTCAGCAGAACTACAATGAAAGCTTCGTAAATAAACTAACTAGTTCAAGGAACTTAGACGAAACCATTTACTTAAACTACAGAGCTTCTACATTATTTCATTATATGCATCAGTAATCCTAGGCTTATTTGAAACAGTAATGTTTATCAGGCCTAAGCCCTAGCAAGGTAGATAAAGAGGTTTAGCCTTATTCTTTTGGATATAATGAGCTATAGAGTTTGAATTTGTATGGTTACACCCAATTTTTTCGGAACATGATACTTGAAAAAAAACACAAAATATAAAAGCTAAACTGCTATCTATCACATATACATAAGTAGTACTATTCTATTCTATTCGTGATGAACAAGAAGAGGGAAATATAGGGAAAGATTCTAATTCATTTGAATTTCATAAAAAACAAGAAATCTTCAACTAACCATCTGTCTTCTCAATCAATTGTTATGAAAGAATAACGTAATCATTATCTGCCAGTGAATAAGTAGAGTTAATTGTGATAGAGGAGGATTATTGAAAAATAGAAAACTTACTGTTAAAGTCAAAATGCAACGGTTTCCAAATGTCATAAAGACGGAATCCAGTAGAATCTAATTTAATAAAAATATTCTATAATTATAACTTTTATTTAATAGTGGGTTTATCATTACTCTTTTTTCAGCATGAAAAAAATACATTTCTCCATTTGTAAACATACATGATTACAGATGAACTTATTTATCCAGTTTTAAACGTTACTTTCTAGATTTTCCTACAATAAAGAACATCTAAATGTTTCATACGTGTATATATATTTACGTATACCGATCCTACTGTTTACTCAATGGACGATGTTAATTGGTTTGGTAGTAAATTGAAATGGTACTTGTGGCTAAACTAAAACATGACATCAATCAATGAATTCGTCAACTGTTGCTCTCAGTCACATAGGGAGGTTATTGACTAGCTACTTATGTTCCGTACCTAACCACTATCAGTAATCCTTGACTTTGAATATCATCACTCAGAATGGGACATAAAACTGCAACAGAATTGACGTTTCATCTTCTTTTTGATGCTAACTTTCAAAATCATTCTGTGCTTTTTTTTATTCTACAAGATCAATTTCTCTTATGGAATCCCATTCTCTACACATAACGTTTTCTTCTTCAATTGATACTGTTATTATTTCCATGAGATATTCTCCGATAATTTCATCTTGCTGTACTGATGCAGTGTAGGAAATTAAACTAATGCACAACTGTACCAAGTTTCACATTACTTATGACTTGCTGACTCTACATTTAAATAACATAAGTTACTGTTCTTTTAAAACATTTTAATACTTTTCTTAATCTTACCTGAATAGATTCATTGACAATGAAATATGGTAATAATTATTATGGGTGTGGTAAATTTAGTTTGTGAATGAATATAAATTGTTATTTTATATCATACATCTATATTGTTTTCTGTTATATGGTTTAATGAAAAAAAGGAATAAAGGATTTACTATTTATTAATAAATTGTTTTATATTTTTATTTGCCAAATAAAATTTAAAAAGAAAACTCTTCATATATATCGTGGAAAATATTTTTCACAAAAAACGATTGTTTCCTTCTCCCATCATCATCATCATCATCATCATCATCATCATCATCATCATCATCATCATCATCATCATCATCATCATCATCATCATCATCATCATCATCATCATCATCATCATCATCATCATCATCATCATCATCATCATCATCATCATCATCATCATCATCATCATCATCATCATCATCATCATCATCATCATCATCATCATCATCATCATCATCATCATCATCATCATCATCATCATCATCATCATCATCATCATCATCATCATCATCATCATCATCATCATCATCATCATCATCATCATCATCATCATCATCATCATCATCATCATCATCATCATCATCATCATCATCATCCAAATCATCATCATCATCATCATCATCATCATCATCATCATCATCATCATCATCATCATCATCATCATCATCATCATCATCATCATCATCATCATCATCATCATCATCATCATCATCATCATCATCATCATCATCATCATCATCATCATCATCATCATCATCATCATCATCATCATCATCATCATCATCATCATCATCATCATCATCATCATCATCATCATCATCATCATCATCATCATCATCATCATCATCATCATCATCATCATCATCATCATCATCATCATCATCATCATCATCATCATCATCAACATGAAGAAAGTTTACGTTTCTTTACCTCAGAATATATTAGATGATATATACGAATATTGGTCAATATTAAAACGAATAGTTCGACTAAAATTAGGCGCTCAGTATAGAGAAATCATTATATGTGAAAATTATATCTGAAATAATCTTATTGATTGAAATTAAAAATAATTTCAACGTTTCGTCCAACAAACTTGATTATTACCCTGAAGAAGTCCAGACAAGTTTGCCAGGCAAAACGTTGGAAATGTTTAAAATTTAATTGCTGAGATTATTTCAAATATAATTTTCACATATTGGATGATATATAAGAACTGTCGTCTAAATTAGAGCGAATAGTTTCACAGTATTTGAGCGCCGAGTTGATGTAAGACATTAAATAGGAATAATATATTTGTAAAATGTCAGCGAATGAATTTTGTAGTAAATCCAACGTTCCGCCTGGCAATCTGGTCCAAGCTTTTTCAAGGAATTATAATCAAACATCAATATTATTGAATATAAATAGGTACATGGTTCTCCGAGTTCATTATACACTGAATAGGTCATCCAATCAACGTTAACAAAAGTCTAAACTAGGTATGTTTAAGAGATATGTGATGTGAAGTGATGAGTGTTCATATAACATATTTTGCCTATTTCTATTCGATAATTTTGATGTTTGATCATAATTCCTTGAAAAAGCTTGGACCAGATTGCCAGGCGAAACGTTGGATTTAATTAAAAATTCATTCGTTGAGATTTTACAAATATATATTATTCCTATTTAATGTCATATTGGATGATAATTTAGAAAAAATAGTTAATTCAATATGAAATGTAAGAAAAACACAATGATCTCAACAAAACTCTTAAGTAAATCTATATATTGATAGTTCTGGTATGTATCTGCTATCTGTTGATCAATATCAACTTACACATATTACTGAAATATGACTTTAATCAGTCAACGTTTTTGGATTAGTGAGCAAAATGTAATAAATCTTATTTTGTATTTCATTAATCTCAGTTAGTTCAAAAATTAAAGTCTGATCATTATGAATAAATGCATCAAACTACTTTGTTTATTATCCTTGAATTATGAAGAAATCTTACTTCAACACTCATAAATTTACACGATGACTGATTATGATCCATGAATTTTAAAGTTCAATGATGCAATATGAAATCATGTACTTATTTTTTTTTTTTTAAATAACCGATCTCAAGTTTGATTATCAATGATCGAGAATTTTGTATTGATTTCAACTGGATATTTTTTCATTTACATACATTTATATTTTGTAAGGTATTTTCAAAGAAAATAGTGGTTAGCCACATAAAACAATACAAATGGATTTGAATGTAAGAATTATGAAACATGTAAAGTTTGATGAAAACTATCATAAAAGTTATCATCTGTACTCAATCATACTCATTATATTACTTTTCATAAGATGGGATTAGTTAGCTAGCCAGTTACTAGGATAATTATGCTAAATTAAAACCGAATGTACACGAGATTCTAGTTATGTTCTTATAGCGATTTTTAAAGAAAATTGTCTCATTGAATCGTTGATAACAAACCAAGGATAAGTAAAAAATCAAACCGTAAATAATTTCAAATTTTTGAATATAAATGCCTTTGGAAAAAAGTATTGTGACTGGAAGTGTGTAGTTAAACATTGATGCCATTTAATGCCGGCTCAGTTAACTGGTGGTTAAGCGTATGATGAATTTTGAGATGGGAAACATTAGTCCGAGATTATACTTTAACTACTTAATAATAAACAGTAGTCGAAAACTAAGACCAACAATTTTGATTGACATCTGGTGGCTTTGGTTTATACAAACTATAGGCTACAGAAGAAATTCATGCGGAACATTAAAACTATCACTAAATGGCTAGAATTTTAATTAAGGAAGTGATTTCATGCAGTGACTTTCTAAGCCACTTTAGTTTCCCTCACTGATGTTAGATTTCTCTTGAAAACGTCTACAAGAAAAGTTGTAAGTTGATAAACATTGATTCTCAGAAGAAAGGAGTCCGGCAGCACTATCTAAGTTCTGTGTAATGGTAATTCTTACTAATCATTAGAATTGGCTGACGAACCTATAGAGGTTTGTAAGACTACTTCATCCTTTGATTGAACTTATTGAACTTTACAAACTGTAACCGGTAACCCGAAATTCACAGTCGTTGAATATATATAAGGAAGAAGTGTCTTCCAATTTGTTGAGTCCTGTCTAACTTGATATCCGAAATGGAACGTCATATAACTCTCTGCTCAAACTTTCAGATAATCTATTTTCTAATGATGAAATTAGTGGAATAAATTACATTTATATATATATATATTATAACACAGTTGATTCATCCTTTTCAACGAGTTCATTCTCAAAACCGTGTATTTATAAACAAATTTGACAAATAACAGGTTAACAAAAAATTGCATGTGTTTTAAGATTTGATTGGTTACCATGTGATATCTGTTGTCATACTTTTAGATAAATAGAGAGGTGTTGAATCTCAACAATTAGAAAACAAAATCTAATTCATTCACAATGTTCACGATATCGTAAAACATATTCACTTTTAAATTCATCTTCCTAAGAGACGGGTACCTACTGAGATTTATTGAAAAACGTCAAAAAATGAAACAGCTTACACAGTTTAAATATTAAGTGTTGTTTTTCAGTCTTCAGTTTAAAAGAGATATCCCCAACGGTATATAAAAAAATACTGTGTAGAGAAGTCGATTATGAAAAAATTTTAAGTAGCAAATTTCCATATAAGCCTTCATAGTCATTCTGTTGTATGCTACTATGTGAACATTATTTTCTCAAGATTGGTCAACTCAATATACTCTCGTGAAGCTATGTACTTAGGTGATTTTTCGAAGCCACTTCTTCATTGCATTTGGGAGTAGGTGCTAGAGTGGCTTATCAAACGTGAACACAAGTCAAATATTTTGCAACAAGACATTCGGACTCCCAACATTTAGTAATATTTACAAAATCCAGTCAAAGTAGCCAAGAGGTGTACAACTTCACACATTTTATTTTGAGGAAGCTTTGACTACTATCAATTAAAAACCTATACTATACATGAGCAAACAATTTACTTTATCCCTTACTTTACCAGAATCTAGGCATAATAATACATCTTGTCAATTTAATTATTTTTATTTAATTCACACTATAGCTTCCAAAAACGGATTTTTATTTGCTTCATTTTATTATTAATAACAGCATAATGCTCTTTTCATTCAACGTTCTAGTGACTATTGGAAGGATACATACATCGGGGAATAGTATAAGACTAACTGACAAAAGCATTACAAATTAAAAGTAAACTTGTGTAAAATTTATTCATCATAATAATGCTCATCATTTTGCACTTATTAGATACAGAAAACAAATTAACGATTCTTGAATATTTTCAGTAGCTGTTTATCAGCGAATTTGACGAATAGTACTGTGTTTATGAATGATGAAGTTAATATTTTGTACGGCAAATTTAGGAATTCAGTAGATAAAATATTTAAGTCCTCATTCTTCATGATCTCAACAGATTAGCCTAACCACAAAAGTAATACTGGATAAACCATAACTTACGATTAATTGGAAATTCTACAGTTAATATTTCTAAGATCTATCAGTCACAGTGTGCATAAAGTATTCATGTTCTTATCTTTCAGTAAAAATTTCATATATCTATTTCATATATACCTTAGATCCTTTAAAACAGTTTCTGTTTGTTTGCTTCGCTTTACAGTTAACAACCTTGAAAATATCACCTTGTCACAGTGTTTTGTTTTCTGCGTTATGTAGCAAGGATATTCGCTGGTCGAAGATGATACCATGTTTGTCGATAAACTAAAAGTTCCTTAGTGACAAAAATAGTTATGAAAATCAAATCAAAACATAGTCTTTTAACGTCATACAAAACTTCATTTTAAACCTTGAATAAAAAGTACACCTGTTAATGAATATTCTGGAAGGTTGTCTTCAAAAAAAAACAGAAAAAATAATTAATCTATTTTTAAGACAAGGAAAGGAATATATGATGTGAAGAGCCAATCAGAAGTAGTATAATGAAAAGGTCAATCGATGGCAATAGAAAGTGACCTAAAGGACAATTGAATTTCACTGGCTAAGAAATGAATGAATTTCCTAAGAGTTGGAGTGGAATATATAAGAATGAGTATTCGCACGTTTTAATTCAGTAGCCGAACATACTTTCTCGCTCATTCTTATGATCTCGCTAAAGCAGTCAGTTAGGGGGTTAGCGCGTAGCATGTCATGTATTAGTATCAAATTGCCGACACCGCCCGCCACAATAGCATACATCGTTGAAAGTTTTAACATTCAACAGACATGAGTAGTAAACTTTTAAATCAAATTATCAATTATTCAGCAGTGTACTTGATATCAAAAAGTCAGAAAAATCTCTTATAAGTCTCATCAATATACCACTACCATAGAATTATTTGATAAAGAAATAAGTTAGTTAACCATAAAATTAGTTTTAAACCAAATAATTAATGGATTAAATAAGGTAAAAAATTTTATCATGCCCCAGTCTATGGTCGACTGAAAACAATTTTCTGACATTCTTTTGGAATTGAGCACAAACTGCCCGAAATTTCCTGCAAGCTTGATTTTAAGTTACCATGGTTAGAATAATAAAATATCTCAATTTGTTTTAATTCATCTTTCTCAATTATCACTCATGGGAAAAGAATTTGTCAGAACTAATATCTGATAAAAGTTATTAGTAAAGCTATACCTCGAGAAACAAATCAAAATCAACATATCTAGTGTTGAATATGAGCATGAATTTAAAACGCTATCGCGGATCGTTGCTGGAAACTCTGATTTTGATCACACCTTGTATTTTGTGAAGGTTAAATAATTGTTTTTGTGTGGAGTAGGTTTTACCAGTCAGGATACTAGAGTTAATGGTGTTTCAAATTAAATGTTAGATCCAGTTGCTAAGGTTAAGTTTACTGTTAGGAGTCAAGGTTTAGCCTGGTCATGGGACAATGATTTTCCGTTTAATGTAACAAGCTAAAACTCCTAATGCTCTGTTATGTTACTATGCTGCATAAGTTTAAAACTCCATAAAATCTGCGTACTACTTCTGTTTTGAACGATGACACAAGTGGGGATAGTAGAATGTAATTGAACACAAAATTACAGAACATCTTAGTAACATCTAAAAACTGTACAGTAAAAACTTAATTTGCAAAATGTCAATCAATTGTCTCGAACTTGACAGTTCATTTTGCTAATGGCAATAAATCGTCTCAGACTTCAGTGTTCCTTCATGTCTACAGCAATCATTCTTTGTTCTCCTTCTCTTCTCTTCGATCTTCTTAACCTTGTGTCTCCGGCATTTCACTTACGATTGTTCGTACATACTACTTATATCTGTCGACGTCAGTAGCACACACTATACTTCATTACTTTCTGATTTTTAAAATTGCTAAAAACCATGAATGTGGAATAAATTACGGATTCATCTCTAAACAAATCCTCATGATATCAATTCAAATGAGCAAAAATAAATATTTTAAAAATTGAATCGAAGATTTAGAAATGTAATTTATTCTACAAATTGGTGTGACCATAGCTTGAGTATTTATAGATAAGTATTCAGCAGACTGAAACTGGAAGGCTCTTTAGGACAAAATAATCTGTTAACGAAACATATATTTCATGAATACGGTAAACCATAGAGACAAGCAATATATTTTCTGAACATATAATTTCTTTTACTCTAAAATGCAAACAATTACAAGTTTTTAGTTGAAAGCGTGAGTCAATTGAAGCTAGACCACCAGGGAAAATCTGGAGGCACTAGACAGCCTTTTCGTCCTATCGTGGCACTGCTGAGGAGTCTCACAATAGGACGAAACGGCCGTCCAGTGCTTCCAGGTTTTTCCTGGTAGTCTAGCTTCAAATGACTCATGCTTTCAACTATGAAAATACTAAATCTCCACAGAAGCACTTCTGATAATAATTAAAAGTTCTTTCTAAATCATACAATGCTCAATTTGTTTATCGTTTCTCAAACAATTATTAACATACTGTTTATTCGGTTGAAGCTATGAATATGAAATTATTGAGATTGTTGAATGTTACTACAATCACAAACCGATCTTATTTAGACAACCATTGAAAAGTTGGAAGTGCTGGACGGCTGATTTGACCCTTGGTAAGATAGTGAGTTAGTACTGCTCAATAGTTTTATACTAGAATAAAACAGCTATTTAGAGCATGCTAGTTTTTAATGATTGTGTTATTAGATTAGTTCGTGATCTCTAGGATAGGTTTTCAATTACTGAATGAAGATGAGAGTATAATTTCTATTAGTTATCCCATATGATTTGTCTCAATTAATTAGTTAAAAGTTAGTAAGTACATGTTATTTGGTTACAAGGTAAACGTACGTAATCATACACCAAACAATTTTTCCCAAACTACGCATGTACTAGACAAAACTACATCCTGAATGCTATTTTATTTTCTAATCACTGTATTAATAAAAACAGTCATGAGAAAAATAATAATAATCAATAGGAATAACTGAAACCTAGAAAACTAAAAAGAACACTACAACTGTTTATGCATATAATCATCGATTATAGGTGACGTTAATCGGCATGAAAAAAAATTAATTAATCACATACAAAGTTTCCATGTTAATTTTAAGTAGTTTCTAAGTTATTTTTTTTTGATTGATAAATTTTTAAAAAAAATAATCCTTATTTTAATGAATAATCAATAATTTATCCGATATAAAATCGATCACAATAAACAAATAAATGTTATATATATTTATTTGTTTATATTTATCTTATTTTCATTAATAAACATCCTTTAGGAATAATTTTTTTTTCTTTTGAAAAATTTATAAATAAATTTATTGATTAGTTTTATTAGTGTTTAATTAATTCCCATTAATGAAATATATCATTAAATTGTAATTAATGTAGTTACTAAGGTAATACATTTTCAAATGATGATTATAGTAGCTAAATAAGTAAAATATACCAATATTTATATCTAATACAAAAGGGTTATATAATTAAATTCAATTAATCAAGGAGGGAAAATATAAAGGACCTATCAGTCTCGGGCGTAAACGCTTAACCACTAGACCATTGAGCCTTCATCCTGAGTTCAAATCTCTCGAGGTAGGATCGTGGATGCCCACCGCTGAGGAGTCCTACAAGAGAACGAAACGGCCGTCGAGTGCTTCCAGGTATTCCATGGTGGTCTAGCTTCAAATGACTCATGATTTCAACTATATAAAATTACTAAAATTTTCAAGAAACCCCTTTTAATAACTAATTGTACCGTTTGGCTAGTCATTATAAAATATTTCATTAGTTTTTTTATTGTAATTTTAACTTTGTTAAAAAATATATACATATCTATAAATGGAACTTTATTATGTTCACTATTAATTATAATTAGTCTCAAAGTAGGTATTCTTGTCTTATATTTGTGAGACTCATTGAGTAATAATTATATTCGTTATGTACTCATGACGTAGCAGTTCAAATCGGATCCATTTGTCCTATCAATCAACTGATTCATACCAATAGATTGAGTTACAAATAATAGAATAAATGTTAATGTTAACTTTATTCTATACACATATGTTCTAAACGAAAGAGTGGGAAATGATCAAAATAAATATGATTAGCAAACACTTTGTTTTTTCAATTTCATGACCTCAAAAGCTAAGTTCCAATGAGAATTGTACGCTATTTTTCAAGTGTTTCTATTTACCTATGAAAAACGGTTATTTTTGAGTAAGTATTTATGTTTTGAGCGTCGGTATTTATTGCTGATAGACAAATCATGAGTGGAAAGAAGCGATCGTAGTAGGTCAACATGAGTGAGATTGCGTGTTAGTAGAAACTGACCAAAAATCCTGTTGGGCTTTCAATGTTTGTTCGAAGCTTTAGAACAATTACTTCATTAACACACTGGTTCTTTGATCTATTCATAAAATTTATCCAATAATGGTAGCTGTGACCTATAGATTTCGTTACATATTGCTGTAATCCTATTGAGTCAAGAGGATTCGGTTGACGTTTTTAAAAGCAATGGAACACTTACATGAAAAAACTTACATTTACAATTTCATTCGACATTAAACATACAATTCAAAAACAGGCCATCTTTGAAGACGGTTTGTAGTGTAAATTGGCTTACCCACCAGAAAAACAAAGTTAGGCTGTAAAATTTTAGGGTCGGTAAGCAAGGTATATTTTACCTGGAGAAAATATTTGTGTCACAAAAGTCTCCGCTAACATTTCTGAATCTGATTCTATTTATGTCCTATATTATGGGTCTTCTCAAAGCTGTCGCTTTCTCCTTGCCATCCAGAAAGACGGCGAGATACCACAACATAATTGCTTAAGTTGAAAGCGTAATTTCATCATGACAAAAAATTCGAGTACTATACTGACTATAAGATAAGACGTCAAATGTTCAGTGAAAATTCGATAAGGGTAGCATACACATACCGACAAAAAACATTATGCATCAAGATTTGAAAGCAATTCACATTGAATTCATCTTAACCATAACCTAAACAGATGTAGACAATCAGCGTGTTTCGACAGATATGTGGTCCAGATTTATTTTTGACCATATGTGTTTTCGACGGTTTCGATAATCTCACTGAAGCTTAGGTCCAACTGACCGGCAAAATGTTACAAGCATTTAATTTTAATTCCAGAGGTTTTATAAATATTTAATAGCTTCGATCTTTGTCACTGGTATGTTTAACAATAACCATAAAATAAGAGCTGTAAAGAATGTATGGTACACAACTTGCATTTTCAAAAGCACATGTACAGTTTCGTATATTGTGCTGAAAATAAACTGATAAATGAATATTTTTGTCATATAAATTACTCCTGATAACTAAAAATTAGGAAATATATAACAATAGTAATCCAACACACGATACTTAATTCGCCCTATTTCCTATCGAATATCAGTTTAAAAAAAGATAAAATATTAATAATATTATATCAAAATAAAAACACCAAAAAGATGTGTATTGATGAACGAGTTTGATGAGTTGATTTAATTCTCCATGTGGTGCAATGCATAGAAAGCTCCTTTCTTAGCGAGCAATGCTGCTGGAGGTCCAGACTCTATCTTACATCCATCCTGTAAAACTACTACCAAATCAGCATTGACAATTGTCGATAGACGATGGGCAACAACTAATGATGTTCTCGACCCCATAGCAGCATCAAGAGCTTCTTGAACTATACGCTCACTCTCATTGTCTAAAGCTGAAGTGGCTTCGTCCAACACAAGTAAAACAGGTTTACGAACTAAAGCTCGTGCAATGGCTATCCTCTGTTTCTGTCCTCCAGATAGCTTCGTTCCACGTTGTCCAACTTTGGTTTCATATTGCTTAAAAACAGTGAAAGTTGTAAAAAGTTATTTGGCACATTAAAAAATATTCGTAACAATTCTAATGGCATGAAAGCTGACAATACAATGAAAATATATACCTGAAGCGAAATTTTTAATGATTTTAACAAACCGAATATTTCACTCACCTCTGGAAGTGTTGTAATAAAATCATGGATGTTAGCTGCACGTGCTGCCTCAATAATCTCTTCCATTGTCACTTCTCGACTATTGTCTCCATACGCAATATTCTCTCTTATGGTGAGATCGAATAAAGTGGGTTCTTGTGAAACAAGACCAATCTGTTTTCTAACCCAACTAGGTGCAATATCTCTAATATTGATATCATCGAAAAACACGCCACTATCGGGACCATGGTATGATGGATCGTAAAATCTCAATACTAACTGAAGCAGTGTTGATTTCCCACAACCAGAAGGTCCAACTAATGCAACCGTTTGACCAGGTTCAACAGTGTGTGAAAAGTTCTGAAAAATGCAGATGATTTCCAGAAACTCATTAGATCACTAAACAACTAGAATATTACAAATAGATATTAGAAAACAGGATCGAATAGTCTTGAAAATCCAAAGTTGATTATCTTTCGCGTATACAGATTTAATCAATAATCTGGCTAGTGCTTACAGTGAAACACTTTTAAAGTAAAACATTCGACTCATTTAGTAATTTATACCAGTATCTGATGTTGGCAATTGATATAATCGTTCTCTCAAATACAGTGTTCCGTGATGGTGCTTTGAAAACTATCAAGAATTTTTGTTTCTTTGAATACAACATATTGTTTAGTACAAAGTGTGGTAATGTCAAGTACAGTAATAGTTGTACTTTATTACTGGAATTTTCATCACATACAATTGGAATCAGTGGTTCAGTCGTTTAAGAAAGCTTTTAAAATTTTTAATTAAACCTATTATGAATATGAGTTAAATGTTCATACTGAGTAATCACATTAATATACAAAGATTTTTATAACATTACATTTAAATAGCTTGCTACTTAAATTTGTTGTAGTGTGAACAAGATAATTTGTTTGCATTCAGTATGGTTGCATTTGCAAGACATCTACTTAGTAGGTTGGCATTTTTATCGAACAAAAACTACGAATTTATCTTATTCATATCTTATTCGTTTACATGATGATCTAGTTTGAACTAAACATGTTCAGAGCCTCTAAACAGTGATTAAAACAAATTCAACTCAAACGAAAATAAATTTCTGTAACACTGTATTATTTTTCCCAAATTAATAAACTTACCTTAAGAACCCGTCTCTCAGTTTGAGCGGAATATTTGAAATCAATGTTCTTGAACGAAATTTTCCCTTTGAATTTTTCATGTGGTACAATCCCTATGTTAGTTGAAATAAGAGGTTTTCTGTCCAGAATTTCAAGAATACATTTCGCAGCTGAACCTGCTGCCTTAGTACCCAAAACTAGTGTAGCTGTACGACCAAGAGATTGAGCACTCAAATGGATAGTTACGAAAACCCTTTTAATTGAAATGTAATAATAAATTATAATCAAAGTGATTGCATTGAGTTTCTGAGACAAATGTTTAGTAAAATATTTATGGAGTTTAACAAGGAAAACATCTGAAAACTGTGTCACATTTTCATCTACATTTACCATAGTTAAGTAATTGCCAAGTGACTGGAATATTCTAATCCGATTGTGCTATTAAAGTATCCATTTTTAAAACACTATCCACGATTTTGGGTGGTAAGGTAGTAGGATTGAAATTGTGTGCGATCATAAATAAAATACAAAACATTTCAGTTAGTTTTTTGTATACCACCCTAATGATTGTTTAATGATGCTATTTATACTTTATCCTTGCATCGTAGTACAATTTCAACGTTTTTTATATGGTATTCTAAACTTGAAGAAATGAAAAGTCACCTTAAGGTTAATAAATTTCATTTCAAATTTTCCAAAAAAATATCTTTAAATGAAGCTATGCGTGTTTTGTTATCCAACTTGATGTTCTGATTTAATTCAATGTAGTTTTCTAAAAACCACACGTACTACATGAATGCTAGTGATATCATCGCAGTAGGTAGTGTACTGGTTAATAATTAAATATTGTGATGAAAATTCTTATGATTAAATCTCTTAATTGGAACTTTTAGCATTTAAACAAAAAGCAGGTTCTAATGTACTCTTCTCTATATTTACTTAGAATCATTACCTGTGACGGTTCATAGATTTACACACACATGTGAAATTTAGACCTGTTAACATATGTCTAGTATAATATCAGCATATCTTTTATAAATCTTATCATATGTATCAGACAGTTTATCATTTCAAAGTAGACTATTTTAGTAATTATAACTAGTTTTAATTTTTTTCACAAAAGATTCATCCACAAGATTTTATTTCTAATATAAAGCACTTTTAAAGAGTAACTATTCGACAAAGTAATCATTTTGATTTCATAACAGAAAAACACTGTAGAAACCTACAAAATTCCTAATCATATTTGGTTTGGGATTTAAAATGTCACAATTTAAATTTATGATATTTGATAGCATGCAGTGTTTAGTCTTATGTTAAAACTATATAGGTTATTCTAGCTTCCGTCCAGACCGACTTATCCACTCTTTTCAAGTTATATTTTGACCTTGTTACCTATTCACTTATCAACTTTGACTATTTTCAAACGAGCGCATGTATGTTAATAGCTCACACTAATCATTATGTGTCTGTATCTTATTTTTGTCTGACTACAAATATCGAGACACGTTTTATCAACATAAGTTGGCTTACTCGCTTTCTCCGCTCTGCAAATCAAAGATATCAGAACAACAAAGATTCACTAGAAGGACAAATATTCAAACGAAGGGACTTCCCCTTAAAATTAATTTTATTCTCTAGAGTGATTTATGATGTTCCTCTAACATTCGTATTATTTCGCAACCTTCTTGACATACTGAAAACTTGAAAATGGGTTGTGATCCGATCTCTTTTTATTATCAACACATATTAGTCAAATAACCACAATTATAATTCAGTAAATGGTGTAGTCGGAAAGAAATATTTTCAGTCTAATTTCCTTCGTCTTTTAGACGGTATAATGGGGTCTTCTTCGTTGTTTGAAGGTCAATTAAACAAATCTTTAGTTGAGTACTAGTAGCTTAGACGCTGTTAGGTGATTCGTAGAAGTTGTAGTAGTTTGTCGATGAAGTTTCTAATGCGACTAAGAATTAAAGTGGATCAGTGCTCCAGTCCAGTCTACCAGATCTTAAACATTTGAAGGTAGTAAAATAGGTATGAGGGTTCTGGCACATGTAGACAAAAATCTGAGTCTGCAGTGAACCGAAATAAATCTGTTACAGTGCCTTTCAACTGAGCGTTTACTTATTTCTGGCTTCGAGATATCAATATCGAAGTAGGTTCACAACCAATAAACTGAAGCCAAGGAGTTCATACCTGTCATCCAGTTATTTTTCTTTATTTTAAATGAATGTGAATCATGAAGTACACAGATATTAAAGCAGTAACCATAATCTCCTTTTTCCTTTCGGCAAAGAGAATATTTGACTCAAGAAAGCGGATCAACTTTTGGAGTCAGTGTCATTAATGATACATGTATACATATTTCAATGAATTAGTGAGAAAGTAGTATCATAAAATAGAATAAGGACTAATATTTATCAAGTGTCAAGTATTAGGATGACCCATATCTCAAGTCTCATTTTTCACTCATTCGAATGAATAGCATCATTTCTTGGTTTCGTTGAAACTCACAATGACAAGATAACTGATGCAATAGCTAAATTGTGGGAGGTTTTGCTTTTCCTTGGTGTGAGATGCACTGTTGAATTATAGTGTAAGATCAATAAATTATAAAATAATTACATTCAATACTCTCATATCCATGTGGGTAACTGATCTGAGTTGAAGATGAAACAATTTACCTGAACACTGCTAAAACCGTTATTGTTTTTGTTGAAACCAAGTGTGCACCAAGTGAATACGCAGCAGCTACTGAGAAAAACAATACACTTTCTGCGATAGCGTACATAATGGCATTGAAAAATATCGTTTTCAAGTTTTTCCTTAGTGAAAAAAAGAAAAGCGAAATTTATGGATAATATCTTTACTTGAGGTTTTCTACCAGATTTCTTAACACTAACATCGGTAAAGTGTAAATGCTTACGGATAAATTATGCTTTATTCCTGCCAAAGTGATTTGAATTCATTTGAACTCAGTAGTTCAGTAGGAAGTGAGTTTGAGACAAGTACGAGTTCTCCATAGAATATACACAAGTACATACAACTAACTGGTCTCAAATAAAAATAAACACATGTCCATTTTTTAAGTGATACCTACTACCCGCCTCCTCTATTTCTATGTAAATTTTTGTTTACGATAATTAATAATTAGTGTAGAATAATTACTCATACACTATGTATAAATATCCCCCACCTGAACATAATACGACTTCATTTTAAGTAAATAAGACACTATAACAAAGCATCAAAACCATTACAAAAGTGATTAAATATTTCTTAAAAATCATAGTGAAATGTTTACAATTTTTGGAAACTTGTTTGAAAAAAAACGTTTTCCATTCACCTGAGATTTTGTACTGTCAAGATACCTACACAACTGTTCTTACAATAATAGACATCATTAATGCAAGTAATTTCATCCAACAATATATTCAGTAGACTAGGACTGTTTTACATACTCTGTGTAATGTTTTTTTTGTTTTCTTGGAATAATGTTAATGCAGTAAGACATTAAAAAGAAACTCAATCAAACTCAACTTGAACCCTTCGATCTACAAAATTATAGTGGAAAAAAACATAGAAACTAGATATTTTAGAATCTTAAATTTATCAGTATTAATTCCAGAAAATGAGTGACGTATTAATTTTAAAAAAAACTAGAATATTAATTGACTAGAAGAAATACGAAAATGATTGGATTGTAAATGTAATTGTAAAACTACACATCGATCCATACACTGATCATATGCTGATTGTAAAAACACCTTTAGCACGATTCAATATATTTAATTTTGCTGGAAAGATGTACATTTGATAAGAAAAAGCTAAATTTCCTTCTTTTCTGATACAAATGCCAATAATAAATTTTGTAATAATCCCAATATAAGTCACGAGTATTGCTTCAAAACTCACTTTACATTTTCAACTGCATGAGATTCAAAACGTTTAAAGAAGTAATCTTCTAATGTAAATGCAGTAACTGTGTAGCTTGAGCCAATCACTTCTTGAGCAATTCTCATTGATTCATTAGCATTCCGAATACTACTGCTTCCTGAAAGTGTTCGCATCTGGATAAGATGATGAAATAAGTGAATTTGTACAAATATTCTAAACTTCTAAACTTCCATACAAAAAGAATAAATGCCGAATAATTGTATATGACTTCAGCCGTTTACTTTAGTCTGACAAAAATCCTATACTGACAAAACGCACAATTAGTTTGGTACTTGTGTGCTCGATGGATAGAGCAGGCTATCACAAACTCTCAACTTAAGTGTTCTCTGTGATGTGAACACAGTCATCAATAAGAGTGAGTAACTTTGGTTGAATCTGTCAAAAATATTGACTATTTGATTTTCGTATTACATCTCTGAATATTGTACGTATGGTATGTAAGAAGAATATTTTACAAATTATATTTAACTTTCTGTGATGGTGAAACCAGGTGTTATATCGTCAGTACATTCTCAGATGAACGTCTACTTTAACAAAAATAATGAGTAATACAGAGTCTACACTTTGTAGAAGCCAATAATCAGTAAGCTATTCAGAACATGTGATGTCAGTTTGTAGCATTCGTTTAACCAACACTAAATGAAATAATGCTTGTGTGAAAATGTAGATTCATAGAATATAAATTGATCCCGCCTATTCAGATTAGTTACTTTAGCTGTAGAAGTTTTAATTAAACCATATAAATATATTTGTCGCTACTTAGTCAAACGTTAAAAAGTTTAGTCAGCCTCTCTACCAATCATGAACTAATTTCAACATTCTAGTGAACATCAATGAAAGCCTCTATCAAACATATCTTGAAAAACCTTAAAATACTGGCCAAATAGAACGAATTACCTGGAAAAATCCTCCGATGACAATAAGTGGATAGAAGACTAGTATTAGAAGAGTCAGTTGCCAACTGTAGATAAATGAAACCACAAAAGACATAGCCATCAATGCTACAGCTTCTATGATGAAACCCAATTGTGAACCTGAAATCATTGTCACTCTCATAGCATCATTGGCCAGTTTTGCAGTCAATATTCCTGGTTGATTCTCCGGTTTATCAAACCATCCTACTTCCTAAACAAAATATTTCGAGTAAGTAGAACCATTCATCGCTGACTGTTTCATTTGATTAAGTTAAAATATAAGTAATTATGTGAAACAAGAAAATCACCTCTATCTTACCTGATTTAGCATGCTCTCAAAAACTTTTAATCGTATGCGACTAATTAATATACCGCCTGATTTTCCAAAAAATAAGCTCTAAATAAATTCAAAAAATATGTACATTTAAAGTTAAATTCCTTTTCTTAAAAAATGAGCTTATTAACAGTTACTCTAACAATTAGTTCACTCTGATTTGGTCACTGCGATCAAGACAAATTTCTTTTGGAATTTATATACAGGATAACATGTTGTCTAGTTTCCAGAAAAACAAATTTCCCCAACGTAATAAGACGTTGTAATGTTGGTAATCAGGATTCTGGAAACATAATTACTAGTTGTCTGATCCAGAAGCTTCAACATAACTTTGGTATAGATCAAAAGTACTATGAAAAAATGATCTTCAGTAACTTTAGTTCAATCCTGTCAAAATCCAAAACAATTATACTGAATAACGTTCAGCATGAGCGGATACAATTAAGCGATTACATTAATTTATTTAAATAAATAAACATGGTTCCCTGACTTTTCTTAAAATTATTTAGTCTTACATATATAAAAAATTAATGAATATGGTAATACCAAATAATTTGATGAGAAGTGTAAATATTAGTCGGCCTGTCTATTTACTCATCAGTTGGTTTATATTCCACTTGAAAGAAGGGCTAAGTTACATAAATTCAGAAAAACACGTAATGCAATTTAACGAATTACTATATTATTGAACTGAAATGTTAGGCGCGTACAAGCTCAATAGAGAATTCAGTTAATTTAGATTTTACACAACTGCGTTGTATTATAACATAATGCAGTTTTATAAAATCATGGTTAGATTTCACATCAGTTTAAAAAACACTAACTTTAATAAAACCAGAGGTATTCAAACCGAAATATGTACTCCAGTTGAGCGGTAAAGTTTTAGTAATATGAATAATCAGTATTTCATTATTTGACTGAATAGACACCGTTTCAATATTATAATGTCTACTGTGTTTAAAAAAAAACATTATATTAAGGATGTCATACTTGTAGAAACAATCGTATAAAGGTAAGTGACCACTGAACTACTTATTGAGAAAAAACTTATTTTAATTAGATTTCTATGATTGGTAGATTCAGAAAATAAATGGTACAAAGGTGGATAAAGACATTCAACTTAAAAAATAATATCAATGTCAATTTATGTTATTTAATATACATAAAAAAAAGAAACGTTTGTAATAAAACAAACTACGAATAAAAAACCTTGAGTTACCTGACTGATGTTAGCTACGAAACGTAGAATGCCAATCACCACCATCATCCCACATACAACAGTAAGTCGACTAAACAGCAGATCTGGATTAGATCGCAAAGGAAAAATCTAAAACGGGTAATTTCACAAGTGTTACTGTTCCACAATGCAACTGAGACTTGTCTCCAGAAAAGCAATATTATACGTATATTACAAAAAGTGTACATTTTTCCTAATAAATTTATATTTGCTAAATTAATCGCAACTTTTCATTACACTGAAGACGATTTGTCTTGTAACCATGTTCTTCCATTCCATAAACAATGTCAGCTTCTTGTTACATAAAGTTTACGTTAGATCAACTTCACCTACGCCCAGTAAGCAGTTATATCCTGATGCGTTACACTTATGCCTTAATGAGTTACTACAGTCAAAAAACATATTTATCCGAAAGCGTATATTTTTTGACAACTGATAGTGAGATTTCTGTTGATTTCTTTAGGTTGAATCGTATTTTCGAAAGATTTAACAATGGATTTAGATCCAAATATTTTTTTATTAATCAATGAATTATTTTCTATGATAATGTGTCACCTACTACCGATTTAGTCAATTGTATTTCATCCAACCGGACTCTAATCCTTTATCCATAAGTGTTTACCGATTCTCTTAGAAATCTTCCGGATAAGATTATCCAGTTAAAAATCTAGAAAGTGGAATGATTTCATCTGTATATTTATGAGGAAGAAAACTGACTGAAATTACATCTTCTTCCTGTTAAAACGGAAACAATAACTGATGGAATGTTACGGAAACGTCTACAAAAAAGCCGTTAGGAACAATAGGATCAAAAGAGACTCTTCAGCTCAATCCCAATTGACAGAAAGAATAATTCATTTGTTTTTATCAGCTTCCGATAAACACATTTTTCCATTCTCGACATTAGTGCTGAAGGCCCTTCTCTTTTCAAACAAATACTAACTGGAAACGTGTCCTTATCAGTATTTGTCGGTATAAACATAAAGTCAAAACCTTCAAAAATTTATTTTGCCATTTTGAGCAATCCATTTCTATAATTATTACCTTCTATCTAGTTTCCATCACATTTTTAATTTCTTCGTTTGTGTTAACCTTTAAATACGAATAACAAATTCGGACTTTCAGGTACTTGTTTTGTTTGACTTATTATTGTCTCGAGAATGTACACATAAATGCGATGGCACAGTATGAAACAGGCAATATCAAATTAAGCTCATTATACATTTAATTTCATCCAACCATTATATTCATTAACTAATTCATACAACATCAGATTCATTCATTTCTAAAACCGAATCATTCCCTTAAGCCAGAAATAAGTATGCATATAAAATTAGATTATTATGAGGTAAACAGTTTGTGATGTCAATTTTAAAAAACATCAACTAATTTGGCAATCACATATCTCATCATTACAACTAACAACAATCAAAATACGTTAGAGGTGGAATAAAAATTTATTCATCATTTGGTTTTAATGGAACAAATATTAATCAGTGAATTATAAGCGTACTTACGCTATACATTTCAGTATACAGAATTGCAAAAGCTGGTTGAGTGGTCCCACTAATCACACAGCAAATACACCCTAAAACTATCAGAGGTAGTTCAGGTCTATTAAGTTTTAAAATCCTTAATGTTGGGGAAAATTTGATATCCTTTTTCTGAAAAAAAAGAAAAGTTGAAGTTAGTCATGTATTAGTCATGCTTCATGATGTAAAACTTATTTGTTGATAAACTGGTTACCTAATAGCTGAGAGAAAAAAACGCTAATTGAATAAGTATATTTGTTTATAATACTGAAATCAACGAAAAATCATTACCCTTAACCACATCAAAATTATGTTAACCTAAATTTTAACATTGCAATTGATATAATTCTTTAAAAATGGCTTATATAATACGAAACGGACACGGAGGATAAAGTATAAAGGCTATTTTCCTTGAGGTATACGTGTCCTGACTCCAGCTTAAGTCCTTCTAAGGTTACCACAGATCTCAAGATCGTATATAAAAGGGTTGGGAGTAGGATTTTTTAACCTATTTCCCAGAAAAGAAACCCACTAGAAAAACGACTACCAGAGATAATAAATGTCAACATTTAAACCTTGTTCCAGTAGTTCAAGGGTCTTCATATAGAAGGGTTATAACAATTCATAGTGATAACCACGGATCCTTGGAAGCCACGAGGCCAATGTATATTATGGCAACTAGGGTAACAAATAATGTAGGCTTGGAGTTTCCGAATAATGCAAGAGAGCTGGAGGATCAAATAGCTATGTTAACTTTAAGACATATTTTGACTTTGATTAGGACAAGTGAAACCCATTGAACACAATCTGAACAGTAAAGACTAATCTCATGAGAAATGTTGTATTCTAGCCATCCAGAATAAAATGTACGACATATACAACAATTGCGCTGATACTATACAGAGATTTTAAAAAAGGGCCTATATTACGAAAAACCATGTTTTCATGATAATCAAAACATTCTTCGAGCAAAAGAAGGAAATGATTACAATGAACATCGTCTGGTGTTATTTACCCAACAACGATATTAGTAAAGATGACAAACAATCGTCTTGTGTGATGTAGTACACTCTAGAGAAATTCTCATCAAAATCCTTGACTATCCTGATAAGGATGATAAACGATGCGGATGGAAAAATCATGGAACAGCATGGAGTGAGGAGTGTGAACGAGAATAGTAAGAGACATTTAATTGTGTCTGTTTTTAACAACATGGTCACAGGTGATGAAAATTCCTCCTCACAAATTCAAACGCAAAGTTATATCATTTTACTTTGATCACACGAAGGAAACATAGATCAATCACATCTGCACCAAAAAAAAACTCGGAAGGTCCATTGAATATATAAGAACAAATAAAAGATTAGGTATTGCTTTAGATCATCACTTGATGGCAGCCAAGCTAAAACCAGAACAAGAAAAGTATTTGGACAAGCAGAACTATGAAATTTTAGCACTATCTTCTTTTAAACCGCTAGCGAGCTCAGCAATTTTAAGTCATCTTTCAGCAGCCAGCCCCGAGCCTTGCAAGGTTTAGAAAAAAAAGAAAAACCATTATGGAGAAAACTAGAAATGGATGCCAGGTGTTGAGCCCCAAGAAGCTATAGCACGAAAAATGAATCTCTATAGATAACTTAAAAAATTCAGAGAAAAATGAGAAGGTAACATCCAGCTACAGCAGAAGGAGAGCAGAGAAAGCCAAGCCATAGGTTGGATATACAGAAGCGAACAAACAAATGAAGAAGAGTATGAAAGGTGACAAGAGGAAATATGCTGAAGGCCTAGAACCGACAGCAAAAATGTCACAAATGTAAGAAATACGAGAGAACTATATGATACAATGAAGACCCTAGAAGGAAAACACAGTAAACCGGAATGACCATCAAATTAAAAATGCAAACTAATCACCGACGTTCATGAGCAATAGGACAGAAGAATATATTTCTATGAAGAGTTCTTGAATAGACCGGCTCCATTGAGTCCCTGAGAAATCAAAGTAGTATACACGAGCGTCTCTGAAGATGATATCACATTAACTATCGAAGAAATTAGCAAGGCCATCATACAAATCAAGAGTGACACCGCGACAGGGGCAAACACCTTATCAACTAAGACACTAAATCATATATACAGGTAACTGCAAACATGGTCCATGTACTCTTCGGAGAGATTTGTGAGGAATAACGAGTATCACTAGACCGGAAAATGGAATACTTCATCAAAATGAAGGAAATAGACTATAATAAATACGAATGATACGGAAGGATCACACTGTTGTTAGTGCCTGGCAAAGTTCGTAACCAAGAGTTACTGAAGTGAACGAACAATTCAATAGACGCTCATTCTCCAAATCAACAAGCTAGCTTTCGTCAGGATGAATAATTAACCGACAGAATCATCACGTTGTATACACTGTTGGGCAATCGAATGAATAGAACTCATCAACATATATCAACATGCTAGATTACAGTAATCATTAGACTGTATGGAGAGGAAATCTCTGTGAAAACTCCTTTCACATTATGGAGTACCTTAAAAGGTCGCCATCACCATACGCAACTCTTTCGACAGGTTGTAGTACAAAGTTGCGCATTGAGCGTGGCTCACGGGCAAATTACAAGAGAAGGGTGCTAATTTATTGTTCCTTCTCTTTCCCCTGGTTATTGACTATGAAGACCTCCAAATTCCGGAAAAGCACTTTATGAAGTGCATACCCTGGACGTATTTGAATGATTTGGACTTTAATGATGACTAAGTCTTCCTATGTCGTACACAGAATCAAATGTAGACAGAAATAGCCAGCGTTACAGTGGCTTCCAAGATAGTAAGGCCCAGCGAACACAATTGGAAAAGCAAGATCCTGAAATACAATGTCGTGAGCACTAAACAAATCACATTTGATAACAAAGCTCTGGAAGAGATTGAATCCTTCACGTATCTAAGCAGTATAATCGGTAAATAAGGAGAATTCGATGTAAATATCAATGCGTGAACTGACAGTACAAGGGTAACATTCCTACAACTGAATATCCAGTATTCAGAACAACTGAACCCTAGCACTAACGTAAAAACAGTTTTATTATACGTAGATTAAGCATGAAGAACTAACACCATTAACAAATAGTGAAAATATAGGCAAACAGCTGCAGACTCGAAACACTTTGGATCCATTCTTCAGAAACCGTCTGTAGTAACCTTTTTGGAAGACAACAAACCTGTCACCAGTTGAAGGAAAAGTTATGAAAAATCTCCTGGGTGAATGGAATACACTTTGGGGGAAATGGTTAAACTGCAGCAAAAAGCAAGCCCCAAATTACAATGCACAAGGGAACAAGGAACGAGATAGAACAAAGAACACATTGTGCCGGGTATGGAGACAGGCACTAAGACGATGAATAGCATTTGGTAATATCTGGAAAAAAAGGGCAAAGGGTAGAGTTGGTCGGAGATTTCTGGCTGCCTCATATTTCACTTGAGAAAAGTAGGCTTACGAAAATAGGTAATGCTTTCCCTGTACTGATTTTGGTAAAATTAGGATACTCTTTACTACCTTTCACTGCATGCAATAGGGATAAATTATAGCTACTTGGAATTCGGGAATATATAAAATACTTTGTTAATGATATTTCTACAAGTCAGATGTATCTTGATCTCAAAATGACTGTGCGATTCCTACTTATGAAGGAAGTAGACATGATAATTAGAAGTATTAGAATTAATGTGCTAAGAATTCCCCAAATAGTGTAATTTAAGTCAGGTAGAACTACATGAGCACAAGTGAACGTACTATATTTGGATTTCGTAATCAGTGAGCAATTTAGTACAAAGGAATCATCGATGAGTACAAATACCACAGTATACCTACCATTACTTTCTTTATCCAATAATTTTCTACAAAGTGTAACCCAAAAATACCATTATTACGTGTATTAAATAGTAAAAAACTATCTCATTTGATGGGATTATCAATTTCTTATATATACCTCCATCACTCGATGATCTGGCTACATCTATCTCACGTTTCCACCCATTAAAAATTCAAAAGATGGAAGAAAATATTTTGATTTGCTTAATCATATAGTTTTGAGAGTGATCGAATGAAGCTTAAAGAATGTCATCAGAGCATAAATTAGACACCATTTTCCAATTCTTTCTTGAAATATATCTATATTTTTTAATTTATTGAGCTGTTTATTTAATAAACAAGTAGTTTGTCTTGTGTTTATATTTTTATTGAGAAATGTTCACAGTTCCAGTCTGATTTGAACCTAAATCTTGAGAAATATGAAAGACAGTTAGCATCAAACTTGTGAATAATGATTGAATATTTTTTTACTGTAGAAGGAGTTTTGTTCAAACGGTATCCTGTTTCAAGTTAAAGCATTGTTGAGTTTTAAAAATTTATTAAGTCACAAAACTTATTGGAAGTGACTTATTGTGGTATCTGTACCAAATGGTGATTCTTTTGTATTCTTTCAACAGCGAATTCCAATTCCAAATATATATTTCGTTCACTTTTCCCCGTCGAGTTCTATCAGTTTTAAATTGAACCTTTCTGGGAATTCTTAATTTGCACATCAGTTCGATTGCTTCTAATCATCATACTTAATTGAAAATTCTCGTAACATAGATTATGACAGAACTGTAATAAAACGACTATCGCCTGAAATAAATTGTGAACTGTAGAGAGTTCAAAATACTAACTGAATAGCTAAACGTACTTATCACTTTTGTCATACGTTATTCCAATAGGCGTACTGCATTGATGTCGTTAACTGAATATACTTCAGCATAGTTCCAAAATTTTCCTATTCTGATGCTCATGCAGAAAATGTCAAGACCTTGGAAAAAAAAATCATCCCTTTTACTAGTGTAAAATTCAACGGTCCGTAGACGATAGTGCATGAAATCTTTCAGTACAGAAATGTCAAACCTCGCACAAAAGGAACAATAACAAAACTGCTTAAACAAAAAACTCGTTTGAATATAGACTTTTTATCTCTCTGAGGTATAATACGCTAGTACAATAATATGAAAATAAGACTGATCTGTGTGACCAAGTTTATAATACCAGTAGATTGGATACTTGAACGATCCGATACACACAGAACAGAGACTAGACCATGTTGTATTAAATACACCATTCACGATCAAGAATAGAGAGACAGAGTAACGATAGATAGTACACAGTACATACATAGATAGTACACAGTTACAAGCAGTCATTCTCAGTGTGCACATGAAAATCAATAATTGGGAAAGAAATCACATATTTAACATCAGTATGGGAATTCGTGGGGATTGCAATATTTAATAGTCAGTAAGCTAGTGCCTGTTTGTCTACACTCAGTGATCAGTCACATTTGCTTTCAATACTACACATTGATATTACAATAAAACATCTTAATTAATAATCTAAACTGTATTTAATATAAAACTTACTTGATTACGTAGAACTGAAATTGTTGAAATAAGGGAAAAATTCGCATGAGGAACATTTCCAGTTGTTTCAGATATACTCTACACAAACAAATGAAATAAATGGTACACGCATATGAAATCATTTGAACGTGATATTCTAAAGCATTGTGTTATGCTTGATTAATTATAACTATTGTTCCACCAGACCACTGTTACTCAGAGGTTTGTTCATTAATTAACTGTAGTATTTGAAAATATTAGGTTGATATCATTTTCATCAAAAACTGACAAAAATTACACAATCATTAAAAATACACGTTCGTAATACCATGTCAAAATGTGGATGTACATGGTCGAACAGCCTCAGATCGAGAAGAAGCAACTAGTACTTAATATCTTAGAAGAATATTTGAATTTACAAGTACACCACTTTGTAACAATCTATCACTCCCTGTTTAGTAAGTCCAATCTTTAAATTGTACATAAGTTCAGGCAATTTGTAAACAAAAAAATCAATTTTAAAGTATATTCGCCATTTGCGTCTCAATGTAACTTCAACGAAAACAAGAAACCGGTTTGAATTATGTGTGATTCCTGAAGAAAATTTTATATCTGAACAAACATATTAAAATAATAATTTTAATTTTTAAAACGTTACTTACATCCTCACCATTATCCATTTTATAAACATCGTCTAATTTTGTCAACAAGTCTTTTCCACTGACAACATATTTATTTCGAGATCCTTCATCAAATAATTCACTATCATCGTTCTCAGCACTTTCCAATATTCTCTGGATGAAATATATTTAATGTTTAATTATTTATGAAAAAGTATCAAATACAATAATGAAGTCCTATTGTAAACTCTTAATTCAGTATGGTCAACTTACATAACCCACAAAAAGTTATTACTCTCTTCTTAAGTATTAGCAAAAGTTGCATTTCTTAACCCCAATTTTAAAAGGCATATTCATTTCAAACTTCTTTCAGTTGCAAGTTTTAAAACAGGATAACAAAAATGGCACTAATATAAACCAGATCATAATTTTGTGAACGATATTTTTGGGTTTCAATTCTAAACTTATGCACAGAAGCCTTGATTAATTTGATAGTTAATTATCTTTCTGTGCAACACAAAACGTTGTGCCTGAGAAAAACACATCAGCTTACAGATAGTACTACAATCCAAGTATAATTTAGCCCTATTAGTTTAAATTCCAAATAATAAAATAAAGTCTTCAAAATAAAACTTTTAAAAAGTACAACTTCTTAGACAAATATTGGTATCAGCCAGTTTATCATGATAACAATCTATCTTAAAACAATTCAAGCACACTCAAAAACACTTTAAGCAACACTAGTCTGGAAAAAGTTAAACGAACCTGGTTACTAAGCATCGCTGCATAAAGACCCTTTCCAGCAACAAGTTCATCGTGTGTCCCAGATTCGCAAACTACCCCCTTATCAAGCACGACTATCAAATTCGCATTACGAACTGTTGTAAGACGATGAGCAACAACTACCACAGTCCTCCCCTCAATCGCTCTATCCAAAGCCATTTGGACAACACGTTCTGATTTCGCGTCAAGTGAAGACGTTGCTTCATCCAACAGCAGCAACCTTGGTTTTCTAATTAGAGCTCGAGCAATTGCTATACATTGCTTCTGACCGCCTGACATTCCGCCACCTCGTTCACCCACATAAGTGTCGTATCCCTGAATTCATAAAACGATAACAATTCAACTTTTAGTTGAGCAGATAATGTTACTGGTGGTAAATGGCTTAAATTTCAACTCTGTTGAGATGGCTTACATCTGGGAGTTGTTGAATGAATCCGTGAGCGTTGGCAAGCTTCGCAGCTTCTTCTATCTCATCCTGAGTTGCATCAAGCTTTCCTAACCTTATATTGTCACTGATAGTTCCTTCGAAAAGAACCGGTTCTTGTTGTACACAGCCTATCTGGTTACGATAAGCTTTCAGGTCCACATTCTTGATGTCCTCATTCTCAATTAGTACCTAAAAACCAAATATAATACAAAATGGTAAAATTAAGGACCGAAATTTCATACCGATAATTAAATAACGAAACAAAATAAATTTTGTGGGAAATTTTGCCCAGATTCAGAGGAATGGTTTCACAGTAGTCGGAGAAGTGTATAGAAGATATTACAATGAAAATAATATTTGCAAAACTCTCAGTGGTTGAAATTTAAAATAGTTCAGTATCTAGAACTCTAGACTGTTAAGGAGAAATTTGTATCACCTCTGTCTCTTCCTTGATTGAATAGAACGTCACAAACGACTTTGTTACTTTTAACATCCATTATCTGTTTGTTTTTCCTTCCTTTCTTCCGCATATATTTTCAACTATCTGATTAGTTAAACACATTATTATTTACTTTTGTTGACGTTAATCTTAAAATGACGATCTAACTGAAAACATGTATGTTGTTCAATGAAAATGGCCAACCAATTCAAATATCAATAGGTAATTTATGACAGAATATGTATTGAGATCGTTTCAAAGAGCGATTCGTGAAATTATATTACCGTGGATAAGCAGTTTTATTAGTGGAAACGCACTAGTCATTTGGACAAGTCTTTTGTCCTTTAGTTATATGCAGTGAGGAGATGAGCTGTGTCTTAATTTATGGAATATTCCAGTTATAAAACTCATTGTCAGAGTGTGGAGTAACTACCCGTGTTTAGAAAGTACACATACTGCATAGACACATTTTCTAAGGAAACTTGTAAAACCAGATCAAAAGAAAAGTACTTCAAATTACTCCATACCTTGCCTTTCGTTGGGTCATAAAATCTTTGCAACATATGAATAACGGTACTTTTCCCTGAACCGCTCGGTCCAACCAATGCCACAGTTTGCCCACTTTTGATGCTTAAATTAAAATTCTTTAAAACCTACAAAGTAGAGTTAGTAAACACGTGTATAGTTAACGGCGCACTCAACTTAAATAAAACTTAATTGCATTTAAAAGTAAAGAGATAAACGTTTTCTCATTGACATCTCATACGCTCTTATCGCCAACCGGTGTAAAACGATGAAAGAGAATATTTCTGGAGTTGTTCACTAATTAATACAGGACATAATCCATGCTAATTCGTTATATGAAACCTACAAATAAAACATGGGAAAAACTATTTGCGAAACGATTGTTCCTGTCACTAGTTCACCGTCATGTTAATGCAACAATATAGGTATGTGTAGAATGAGTGATGATACTTGAATCAGTTTAGCATGAAAACTTAGATATCTTTTCACTTTTATCTCTATAACATTTCCTAGAAGATCATGTATAACCACTGGCTAAGAAAAATAGGTGAGACACTTAAGCATATCAATAAACTTTAGATCTGAAATTGACTTAGTGAGTGATGTGTCTTCAGCTGAAGAGTACCCAAGAGGGTGTACACTTATATTATTTCAAAAACATGTCCGTACATCCAACTTGCGATTTATACAAATATCTTATGAAAAAACTAATAATGTAGTTATGTTTGAGCATTTTCTGGATGCTTCAAAACAGTACAAAATCTGTACGAATATATTTTCCATATCTTTTCATCTACGACAACTTATTCCAGAAACCTGAAAGTTGCAAAACCGACACATTAGCAAAGATTCTGATTTACTCACGGCAGTATCTGGTCGACTTGGGTATGCGAAAGAAACATTGCTGAATGTGACGTTGCCAGAAAAGTTCGGAATGAGCCTCCCGTGACAGTTTTTGTCAATTTCTGGGGTCTGAAATAAAGTAGTGGATATACATTAGTTAGTAACTTCCTAACAAGCTAAAACAAATCTGAATGATATGTCGGCAGTTTACCTGGAAGTAAAGCATAAAGTGATAAATATTTCAACCCAGCTGCAAACTGTATGAAACTGCAAACAAGTTCATTAATCTACAACACTGTTTCATTAAAGTTCAGAAAACAATTCACTTCAAATATGGATCAATATTTCAACTTAACAGAACTCCACAATCAACTATACAGTAATCCATACTTTTATTGTAATGGGTATTAACATCAGTAACTGTTATCCAAAAACTTATGTGAAGTAACAAATGATCAACAATTGTTTTATTCATCACATTCATGCCTTCGTCATTTGTCCCACTAACTTCCATTTCATAAAATCTCACGCCAATTTCGTATTCGTGACAGAGAATCGTAACTGCATTTTCCACAAACCCTATGTTTTGAACAATTAGAAACGTTGAGCCTCACAAAAAAGGATGTTTCAAAACAGATGTAGATGTTCTTACAGTTTGAACTCCAGTTTTATCGCAATCTCAAATATGGAGTTACTGTAGAGTTGGTGACTGTTTTCGTTGTCAGACATCCAAAAGAAAATTGAATCACTTTCAGGGAACAAAGGTAGTCACAATCGACGTACATTTTACTTTCAACAATCAAAGTTGTTATTTTGATCTACTATTGTTGAATAACGTCAATAATCAGTCTGCTATTTTCCACTTTATATTACTATAAATGCGACATCATAGTAGATTTTATTTGGAAGACTGTACTTTGTTACCGTCATTAATTTAAGCTTGAAATTTTAGACGAGGAAGGACATCCTCAATATTTCTCAAATGAATGTCGATTGAGCATGTAAGGGAATATTTACCATGAAGCTATCATAAAATAATTGACCAATGCTATCAAAGCAACTATAAGAGACAGGTCGTGGGAATAACTCACACGCTCGATAATACTATAGATTTCAGTGGCTGACGCCTGTGCGTTCATAAAATATTGAAAACTTGGTAGAGCGTTACCCAGAAAAACGCTTCCTAAAAGAACATTCACGAAAATCTGGAAAGGTATAACAATCATGAAAGAAAACTATGAAAGATTTAATTTGATGTGGTACCAAGAAATTCAGATAATGAGTATACTGAATATACTGAGTATACTGAGTATATCTGAATTCTCACTCATTTCTTCCTAAAACACATGCAGTCAAATTTTAAATACAGCTTTAAATGATTCTCTCATCACATTACAATCTAATAATTTCTTTACTGTAAATTTACCGTAAATTATAAGCGTACGAGGTAAAATGTAATTTGTCGTTAAATTTCCAGCTCTGTAAAGCATAATACGTAATCAAATATTTACTCTTTTCAGTGCAAAATTGTCAGCCGGCAAAAAAAATAAAGCGTACGAAGAATATATCTTAGGATATGGATGTGCTAATCAAACAAATTTATAGTACTAGTTATTTTAAACATTGGACACCACATATATTTATCATTACGATTAATATGTAAGTAACTTGGTTTGACATAAGTAAAGAAGGCAATTAGTGCAAATGTTTACTGTTTCGTGATTTATAACAAACAGATACATTTATTCGCTTTACAATCAACAGGTTAATAAACATATACTCCCAATCTATTTGGTGGTTTTACTCTGGACCACCTAATAAGATTCATACAACAAGTTTTCAAAGGTCATGAAATTAATTTGATACCGAAAGTGAAAAACAGTAAACCACATGAATCTTTTTATCAACGGACTAATACTTTATGATTATTAGGGAACGATATTTGCGGAATTCAGTTCACCTTGAAAATGACAACTTTTCATCTCAAATGATAACTCATAAACCTTATTAAATAAAAACATTCCTAAGCAATGGTCTTCCATTCAATATACTGTGTAGGAATCTAAAGATTTTTGAATAAAATGCCAAGCACACTGCTTTAATAATGACTGAAATCAAAATTTTGTTTCAAACAACTTGTTCTTGCAAAGTCTCTCCTTAATCTTATCAGAGTAGATGTTAGGATTTATGGCAAATCACTGTTCGGCATAAAAACAAAAATAACATACCGTCACAATAGCTCCAGCATCATAATCTTCCTTTACTATCAATTTAAAGCCATACCAAAATAGTATGGCAGTAGAACAAAACACAGTCAGTCCAATGGTCCCATTGACTAAAAGTATGAAAAATCACAAGACGGTAAGTCATAGCTCATTATTGAACTGAGTAACATGTTCAAATTTGCTTCTCCTCCTTATTGCAAGCAATTAAAATTAAAATTTCTTCCATAAAATGCGCACACTTGAGTGGTTTTTTTAAATAATTTCCTTATTCTGTATAGTTTTATCCGAACTTTTTCATAGATGTGGAGTACCTACTTTTCAATCACGGATATACGAACCTATAAAATTTCAACATACTTGAGCATCGTTCGGTTTTTGATTTGAAGTAAGTCAGAACATATTCACTTCTTACGAATTTCACTTGGATAATTATGCCAACTTCTTATGTAATTCTGATTAGAAAATGAGGGTGTTTATAATAAACTGATGAGAATGTAGTGAAAGAAACCATCAAAGGAACTAATTGCTTGAAATGAATTGAGTACACGCTAGTTTGCCAAAGCTTTATTCTTGTTACTTGAACTTCGATGTATCATACGAATGACAATTGTGGTATTTGTAATAACTGATGATTCCTTTTTACTTAATTGCGTACTGAGTATGAATTTCAAATATAATACATTCATTTGTGTTCATCCAGCTCTACCTAACTTAAATTGCACTATTTTGGGAATTCTTAGTAAGCACATTATTTCAAATACTACCAGTTGTCATACAATGAAATTTACATTCCGCCAACATTCATCTGTTGATAACACGCTTGATTTACACGACAGGTGAGTCAGACTGTTCAATGAAACGTTTGACTTTTGATAATATTTCCGTGCTACGGTTGGCAAACAGTAACACTGATGGACACCATTGCATTCTCAACAATCTAGTAATGAACGATAGATGAAATCATAAGTATTTAAGCCTGTAATCTTATCAAAACATTTTACTTAATACTTTCATCCTTTATCTAGATTATTGAATACCTGACATTTTCCGTCTAAAATACATACAAACAAGTGTACATTATCCTTCAAAAGGATGGATTATAAACGAGAAGAATAAGGGCGGATACTTCATTCAAATTTTGTCATGTTTACGGTTGAGATATGCAATTTAACTTTTAAAATAACTGTTTCTTTCGTGAATTGAACACGTTAACTGAACATACTAACGATTCCAAATCTTTTCAGACGATAACAAACCGAATTCTATAGTTGATACACATGCCGGCACTTACCTGCACCTGATGCTACTACTTTCTTTAGCCCAGCTTCTTCTGCCGTTCCCAGCTGCTCTCGATATCGTTTCAACTCTTTTTTCTCTCCACCAAACGCAACAACAGTGCGTATAGCTTCTAAAACTTCACTGACAACAGCACCAGCACGTGTGTATGCAACTATTTCCTTAAGGGTGAAATATTTCATCAGAAAACCAAAACACCCAAAGACCGCACCAATGATAGGCAGTATAGCGCAAGCAACCAAGGCAAGTTTCCACCCCACTGTAAAATTAATTATAATGCCTACTATGAATCCAGACAAGTTTTTTATGAAATCAGTCAATGTTGATCCCATCCCTAGTTGAATGTTGTTTATATTGTGAGATAGTGTGCTGATTAGTGATCCAGATGATTGTTCATCAAACCATGCAATGTCCTGGCGTAAAATGCTCTAAAAAATAACAGTTGGAAACGCTTGTCATTAAATATAAACCGATTGGAATATCAAACAACCGAAAATTTACTTCTGTGAGAAATAACCACAATGTTTGATGCCTCGGTTATTCAAAGTATAGATCTTTACTTCGAGACAAAATAGATCTCACCTAGTTTGCATCCCGATATTTAAGTTTGTGCATAAAAGTTCACTATTATTTTCTTAATCACTTACTTTTTGCACGCCTCTACAGTGTCATCGTGAGTTGATTTTATAGCTGAATTTACGTATACACACTTTCATATGTATATGTAAAAAACACTATTTTTTGGTAAAATCTACTGATATCATTATTTGGATCTGCTCAAACCCCATTTGTAAAATTACACAAACATAACATCAATGAGTCCTATCTTCTACTAGATATGTTAGAAGACATTAATAGAGTTACAGTTTAAAAGTGTTACAGCCCGATGAGTTTACACCAAACGCCTCACATAAGCAACGAAATCCTAGACATTTTTCAGCAAATTGTTTGAACGAGAAAATGATCTACAGTTTCAATTAAACTTACCGTTAACAAAACTACCGAATGAAAAGGGGGAGCGATTCCGGAACGTAAAAACTAGATTATCACGTAGCAAGATATTTTATATGACCCTAACATGGCTACAATAAAAGTCTTAACACTTTGTCCTCCTGGCAGTGGATTTACTGTTTTTTCTATCATCAAGAACACTAATTTTTTTCTCAAGACCATTATGAACTCCAGAACTACCCAATCTCACCATTCTGGGGAATTTTGGGTAAATCTTGGGTTTTCCCCAAAGTCGTGAGAGGTTTGTTAGTTTTCCTCAAAGTTTGTGGAAATTTTGGAGTTTTTCTGTCATTTCCCAAAGTTTTCTATTTTGGCTCCCCAAAAATAGGGATATGGGGCATATGTAGCATTATTTAGTAATTACTTATATCAATACCTTCCTTATAAAATACCAACTCTGTGTTGGAATGCTCTGGAAAATATTTGCTGTACATTTAGCTGCTCCTTCACTGTCGTTTAAAAACTAAGACCAATTTTCAAAAAGTATTTAAGTAAACATGCTTTCTTCAGTCTCATAGAGATTAACATCAAAAATGGATTCGTTCTGAGTTGCTTTATGGAATGAGAAATGCGATTCTAGTAGGTCTTCATTCAAACTATCATTCTTCCTTAATAAAACGTTATCTAATACTAATATGTTTTATGTCAAAAATAATTCCTGTAACATAATGCTCCAGAAAACGTAAATAGTAAAAACATAGCCGACTTACTGCTAGCACTGATGTAATTACAAAGTTAGATTAAATAGCTGTCAAAAAACAATCGTGTAGTGAATTGTTATTACGATAATGGACCATGTTCATTTATTAAGCATTCACTTTCATTTGTTGTAAGTATAACTTTCTCTCCAAGTAAACTATGTAGGTGAATTAAGATAGACATATAGTTACACAAACCAATAATATAACTCGATATTTGCTTTCACTTTATTCCATCCTCAAATGTATTGAATAAACCTAACAACGGTTGAAGCTAGTAGATGAATTTTAAACAAAGTTACGACTTGACTAACAATGGATAGTTGTCAATTATACGTTAGCATATAACAATCTCTGAGACATAAACCTTTATGAATTCGCTTGAAAAAAGTAAACATCCGTTGATTTCAAAGTAAACGTCAACCTAGATACTAAATCAAGATGAAACGAACAATAAACTTCAATGAGAAAATTATTCCGAAATATTCATAATTTGAAAAAACTAAAAACAATACATTACTCTGAAATACAGCAAACGAATTCGATTAATTTGCCTGATTGTGAACACATTGATCAAGAAATCTTGACCGAATGCTAATAACAGTGCTGTAACACCCACAAGAGCGAACCATTTCGAGTATACAAAGATGCTTTCCTTTCGAAAAATTTCCTCTGTGAAGTCATTCACTACACCTCTCAGTATAAGAGAATGAACGGGTAGTAAAGCACCACCTATTGTGGCGAAAATAACTGCCATGAATAATGCGCAATACTCGCTTTTATTTGTATTTCTGAACTAAATGTTTTTTATTAAACTACATTTTAATATGGATCCTTTACCAGTGCCCACTGTTTATTTTTCCGATACATTTGGACTTTGTAGTAGATAACTTAATCACAGTTAGCAAAATACTTTACCCTCGAGCACGATATTCAATAGTACCAATCGAATAGGTGTAGATGATCTGCTTCAAACTGCGCAACTAAACAAACTTTGATATTCCACAACTATCGAAAAACCGGATTTTTCGATACATGTAATAATCTGGTAATATGATTTTTTTCGAAGATACCAGAGGAGTATAACCATGTTTTTAGTTATCTATTCAATAAGTGCCACTTACATTTGGTTGTATACTAGGTAGATAAGACCAATAGCAGAAGGAAACAGATGTACGGAAAGGTTGCAGACAACGACAGATACACTAATTCATCACCAACCATCTGAGCTATACGGAAATAGTGCAACTTACGGCATTGCATCCACCTGCCCCACTTGTTCCACAAGGCTGATCGCTCACGCTACCGCGTCACTGACCGGTGGTATTCTGACCTATACATGACGACGTACCGCAAGGTAAATTATATCGTTTCGCCTTAATTTTCCGAGCGAGATTGATGTTTGTCTCAAGAGTGTTGCTTCACCCTTATTTCCTTATTAACTCTACTGGCGTTAAACACTATGAGTATACGGCCTTATTTCTGAGATATATCGGCCTAAGGGCTTACACTCTCGTGTCTGTGCCCAAGTCTCCACATCTAACAGTCTTCTTCGTTTCCGCAATTATCATTAGCCTCAGCTCCTTTCATATCCATGTTAACCCAGCTTAAGTATTTCATCTTAAGTCATTAGTGTAACTTAGCTGTTATACAGCTGGCTCACTATCATTGTTCTACTCTCTAGACAAAGGATGAGGATGGAATCACGTACGATCTGAAGCTAATATCAGTTCTGATCTCTTTAACTAGGTCTACTGGTAGCACTCTTTCACTACAGCTGGTAAATATGTCTATCTCAACTCACATGCTCTTCAGTTGTACTGATCTCGTATTTACATCTAAAGAAGCCACAAGTATTTGGAATTTGACAATACCTTAACTAGTCACACCTTCTATAATCGAAACGTGTCAACCAAGTGAAATCAGAAGCCGGAAGGGAAGAAGTTCAAAGGTGTATTTGATAGAGTATCGACATGCTGAGAATTGACTAATCTAAGCTGTCTGGTGGTTGTAGGAGAAGTGAAGCACTGCGCACCCACTCATGATTTGGTGCAAAAGCATGATCGAGCGTTTTCAGCTACGTGAACATATTAAAACCAATTTGGTCAGCATCAAATATCGAAAACTCATGGAGCTAGTGATTTTGAGGATTCATTTAACGCTACACAACCTTATAGATCATCATAAAGGTCTCACTTGTACCTATAAATGATAAGTCCTCATTAAATATTCGCTGTCTTAACGTACACTTACAAACTCAGCCTATTTTGACACACGATTGAAGACAAATCACTGGACCTAGCCTTAGCTGTCCATGCAAATCCATCCTCACTGATATGGACATTATAAACCGTTCCTAGCAGTTATTTATTTAGAATTCACTTTTTGGCAACTTTTAATACACTCTCGATCTGCATATTTTTCCCAGACCGCCTATACTTATTCCTCAGATGAACGATATTCATAAACCAGGGTCATTGCGGGTGTTTCGCTCTATTGTCCTCTCTCTTTGTGATCATTTCGAGTCATGAGAAAATTTCGTTTGCCGCTTATGTATCCGTGGTGTCCGTATGAGCTTGTAGTGACCTATTTTATAAGATGAGAACGCGATTGGCGTAATGGAAACAATTATTATTACAACCAATTGTATCAGTGGTTGTTTTAATTTACTTGTTTGTTTGACTGTATCAAAAGTACTTTTCGTTCCGTTGTCCATCTTGTTCGTGTGAACGCTCCTACGCTCTGCCATTTTGCCTGTACTCTTTGGCACGTCTCGGTATTCTATCAGTACCACGAGATCGCCAATAAATATATCTTATCTGGACCGATTACAGCCTTCTGGTCTTCGGCCTATCGAGGGATCCAAGTCGTTATCTGGCGCGTAATCCTATTGTAGTGCTGATCATAGTTAATCGCGACACGACACCATCTACAAGCTAACGATTCTTTTGTACCTGATGCGTGCCTGATTTCGAGTTCAAAATACAATATGTTGGGACGGTGAAGAAGTCAGACTACGGGTTCTCGCGCACATGTAGCATGTTGTCGAGAATTTTGGTGTCCGCTATTTATCAGCTATTAACAGAACTTTTTCCGTCACATGTCACGTTTCGTAATGTTTGTGCTTGTTACATAACTTCCAGTTTATTAGTAGTTTGGCGTAGTTGTTGCTCACAACCTAGGTGAATTTTTAGTCAGCCTAATGTGGTTATTTGTGATAATTCAAACTCAAGCAAGTGAAAGTCAATACTTATTAAGTCAAAAATGGACCGTAGTCAGATTGTTAAGCAAAAATGAGCTCTAGAACCTTTTCGATGTGATTAACCTCCCTAATTCTGGTGGTGATGAACATAGATGTATGTAGTTCTTTATAAGATGTAGGTTGAAGCAATTCTGTGTTGAAATATTTTTGAACATTTTATGAGTTGCTAATATACAACCATCCATCATTATCCATCATTAATATAATCGCTTTTTGACTGAGCTGACATATTATGTAAGGTATCTGATAAAGATAAGTTATATGGATGAACCTGACTTTTTCACCGTCCCAATCGTTAAATTTGAATATACATTTAATAATTCCAGAAATTTTGTTTCGGGTACCTAATGCATTACTCACACAATCGTTATTAGGTGAACGCTTGACCGACAAAGTTCGTACGAAATTGTGCGTGAAATCAAAGTAACATTGGATGCAAAGTACAACTGCAAAGTCATAATAAGATCACCAGCAATGATGGAGTACTACCTGCGCAAGCATTGGGGGTTATATTTTGACAATACATGAACACAACTGATCCTTTGTGGCAATCGGTAATGGGATGAGTGTTTGCCACGTTTGCGAAATCCCTCCTTATGGCCAGTTACTTCGGATTTTACGCATTTATGTTTATTGAATGGACGAAGTCGGGAAAAGTTCCTTGCACCATAATTTTAACAACCAGTGGGAGACCTTGTAGAGTGATTTAAATCGAAATCGTCGAAATTAGACACTGTAGACCATCAACGTTGATGATCTATGTCAAATAATTGGAGGTTTACTTGAGTTAGACCGGAACAGTGTTAAAAACAAACTAACTTCGAAGTCACACCTCGCGATCAGCACCTTACGTAGATTTCCCACTCGACGTATCGAGGGACCGTAGATGATCTGAAGACTGTGCGACACAAAGGAAAATATTGGTTAAAGTAGATACAAACAAAAGTAGAACCACTGCCACATGGGCCAGTCCATGGCGTATGATTAACTGATGCGCGTTGATTGTTCTTGACGTTGACGGGGATCAATGATCTGTTCGATATTTAGTGACAAAACTGCTGGATGATTTGGCTAGGGTTCAGTGACATTTCACTGGCCCTACAATACATTCGATCCGGGTGAGAAAAATTTTACGGATCATGCTTTGGACTATTAATAGTGAGATCCGAATCAGAATGTGTCATCAAACTAAATGAATTAGGATTTGGAGGTTCAATTATTTCAGTTTCATTCTTCAGATTGATAATATGACTGCATTTATTTGTGAAGGCAGGTAGAAGCAGATGAGCACAAATGAACGTAATATATTTGGAATTCGTAATCAGCGTGCAATCAAGTACAGAGAAGTCATCAGTTAATACAGATACCACAAGCACCACAGCTTAAATGGGGATTCACGCTCACGTAATCTACCGTACTTCTTCTCCTTAGATCCGTCATATATCTGTGTATTAGGTATAGTCTCTATACGATATGGAATACACTGGAATATATCATTGGAATAACAACGGAATTGGAAAGAAACCATCTTGGTAATTGTAACGTATTCGATTGTTGTGACTAGCCTGCATATGAACCATAGATTTATCAACCAAATTTAGCAGACCCTTCTTAGACTGTGAAACATCAATATTTGGACGTTTTTTTTCTAAGCAATTTCATCATTACTTTCTTTGAATACGGCACGACAAATCTGTACTGAAAAACTTTATCTACTCTACTCTCCAGTTCTTTAAATTTTGCAGCAGCTATAGACATTATGTCTGTTTTAAAGGTTGTATGGATAAATGAATCCCCAAGGACTATAGCTCTGTATGTCCTCAACATTTGGTGCTGAACACGTCAGTTTTAAAGGACTCATCCAGCTGAAGGCGCTAGGTCACGCATCCGCACCAGATCATGAGTGGAAATGACGTGCTCAACGTCTCCTGCGATCGTTAGCCAGTTTGGATCAGTCACTTTACAATATATTGATGATCAATCACATGTATCTTCGAACCTTTTCGCTTCTGGCTTTTGATTTCTCTGGATGGACAAGTTTTGACTATAGAAGATGTTACTGGTAAAATGTTGTCAAACTCTAAATACTTGTGACGTCTTCATTGGTGAGCCCGACGTGATTTGGTACACCAACATTTGAACTGTGAGTCTGTTGCTTTTTGGAACTTCATATAACATTGCTTTACTTTAACCTTTTATATACTGTGATATTTTTTCCGTATTTTTGAATATTCTTCATCACTCGTTCATCCTTGTACATTATATTCTCCATGACAGGACAGACTCCTAAAGTGCTTAAGATCAAGACCATGACACCGCCCCACTCCAGCTAGTGCCATGCTGCCCGGACCACACCGCAGCCCGGTTCTGCTACCCAGAGTCTGACCGATCCACACGCACAATTCTTCGAGGTAGTAAAGGCACTACCACGCCAATTCAACAGGTACGTCACACCTAGTATTGTTACCTCGTCCATGAATCTCTAGAAGGTTTGAGCGGAGTGTTTCAGCCCAAAAGGCATCCTCGACCATTCAAAAAAGCTGTTTTTTCAATACCCTTAGGTGCCATCGGTATTTGATGATATGCTAAAACTAGGTCTAACATCGAAAAAATCCGTTTCCCATGTAGATTCAAAGATAAGTCGTGTAAGTGAGGAATAGGTTAGCGATCCGGAATAGCCAGGTTT